CTAACTCTTTATTCTTATTATAAAATCCATACATCTTTTAATTTCCTCCACTAAATACAAATTCTTGTATACTCTAATACAGTGCGTTCAGTTAAGGAGGAAACTTCGCAACACCGTTGACCCAGCTAAACATTCCTCACAGATTGCTGCTGTAACTGCTGAAAGCAGAATGAGTCATTAGCGCTGATAAACGAGCGCCGTCACAAGTACAGTTACAGCAGCAATCTGTGAGGAATACTGGGCCCTGTCAGCGGTGTTGCGAAGTTTCCTCCTTGATTGAACGCCCTGTATTTCTAATATTTTTCTATGTTGTAATTTTCATCATAACACTAGGCACAATTTTCTACAACTTTTATAATACTGACACGTTGCACCGCAATATGGATCCATATTGACATTTCTATTAACTTCATATATTGCCTGACGATGGTCCCACGAGGACCGCAACTTGTAGCGGTAAACATGTGATATTGATTTGAATTGCAATACCGTTTTCCTTGTTGTGTTGACGGATATGTTACCTAACCATAAAGAAACTCGTGTTTCTCCCTTCTCCACAGCGACAAGACTGTCTCTGGGGTCAACCTCCTGCCCACTGGGTACCGGGGTTTTCCGTCTTTCTTTCTCCCTGGAGGTAGAGCGGCCACGGAATGAAGCTGAGCTCTCACACTCATCTACAATTTAAGAACGCCTGGAGCTCTTCCTCCACCCTCACCCCTTTAATGAAGCACAGGGGCAGCTGTGCTGTAACTTCTACCTTTACTTTGTTGGGACAGCGCGCAGAAAATGACAAAGAATTAAAAATCGCACGGAATTTATCTCACAAGCACATGTAAACTTACTTCAAAAGGTGCTTCTATATCTGTGAAATTAATCTTAGAAATTCCAAGTGTCGAAAATTTCGACATACGCCCTTGTCCACTGGTGCAATCGTACTTTAACGTTGGACTCCATGATTTATGAATTTTCTGGCTCAAATTAAAAAAGTAAAGCTATTTCTGTAAGAGGCCGTGAAGTCCCATAAGGTTTTGAGACTTCGAGGCTCCTACATTTTCTAGAAAATCGGCTCACAGATGGCGGTGAGGTTGTCAGCCTTGCGCGCTTCCGGCCCCCCTTTACCCCCAGGAACAGTCCTGGTACACATTTTTATTAGGCTTACGTTACGAAACTTGAATTTCGGATTCTCTTTCGTGGTTTTCCTATCCGAATTAGATGAGACGGTGGAGATTGCGCCTTTCGATACAGTGTTAGTTTAACTGCATAGAATGAAGCAGTCTTCTTGGATGTGGCACCGTGCAGATGTGTTGTTAACCGACGTTTCGGAGGAACATATAGCCTCCTCTTCAGGGTATAAGATGGAGGCGATACGTTCCTCCGAAACGTCGGTTAACACCACATCGACACGGTGCCACATCCCAGAAGACTGCCTTTTTCATAATCACCGCCGTGAAAACCTCAAATCCTACATAACTGCATAGAGTTTTTAAATTCTATGTTAGGTGGAACTGTAACTCTTAGCGATCTGTGACAAATTTGAATTAATTTGTTTTTAATATTCTTGTAGTTTAAATGTGAATAATGAGCTATTTAGTTCCCTTTATTAATTTTACAGCAAGCAACAAAAAGCATATGTAGCGTAGTAAGGTTTGAAATGTTGAAAATATGTCAACCGTGAGATCCAGGAACATAACCCTGTACGTCCCATGTTATAATGGACTCGAGTTATGTCCCGATTGGGGGAAAGAATTAAGTCGTGAGTCCGAGATATGACTGCATTTGCAAAACAGTCTTTCTCGTTTATTTGTTCTCTCGATATGAGTGTTTGGTATTCATCAGCAATAGTGACGCCGCGAGAGAATCCGCACAAAGCAACCCACGCCATGTCAGCTGTTAGCCGTCAGCCATCTTGACCACAGCTACATCCGGGCTTCTCTCGAGCTGTCAGCAGTTGAAACTCAGCGTTATCACTGCGAGAGGATGATAAGTCCGTGTTATGCGGAATTGGAACTAACTTCTGGTCATATTTAATGCAGACTTATTTGGTCACAGTGCTAATGGCTATGCTCAGGGCCACGCGGTAGTGTAGTTGGTTGAGGCACTATGCCACAAACCGGAAGGTCGCGGGATCGAATCTCTCTAAGAGATGGACTTTTTTTCTTCAATTTACGTAATCCTTCCAGCCACACTATGACCCGGGGGTCGGCTCAGCCTCTAACAGAAATGAGTACCAGGGATCTTCCTGCAACCGGCGCGTAAGGCTGACAACCTCACCGCCATCTATGAGCCGATTGTCTAGAAAATGTGGGAACCTCAACATCTCACAATCCTATGGGCCTCCACGGCCTGTTACAGAGATAGCTTTACTTTACTTTTATCAGTATATCAGACTGCATAGCCTCGACCGGTATGACGAAAGGTGAAATTGAAATGATTTAGACGCTTCCGTGTTCTGACTGACCACTAAAATCCTTAGTCAGGACTGTCGGTGTTCCGGGCGATTTTCGGATCCAGTACGCCCCCCCCCCCAATAGCAGTCTAGATTGTTAAAACGCGCTTTCCTTGCTGCAGGAACACCATTTGCATTCGCACCATATGTTCAAAATAGAATCTAGTAATTTTATGGTGATGGCATAACAGTTTACGTCACTGTCTGATGATGACGCAAATTGAAAGAGGTTTTGGATAGTTTATTTACTTGTGTAGGAAAGAGACATATACTGACATCCGCCTTGCCCTTGATAGAGCCGCCGAGAAACCGCGGAGCAACAAACAGTAGATCCGGAAAACTGACATCTGTAAGTGATCAACGAATCTGCGTTTTAGTCTCCGTGTTTAGGTACTAGCATCCTGTTGCACCTGGCATTGGAATTTATTAATTTTTGGCTCTTATTTACCGCCCACTATGCAACAGTGTTAAGATTTAAAATTCGTCACAGCACTACATGTTTCGGCCCACTCACCCATCTTCAGGTGCGCTGAAATTGGGGGGAACTGCTGTGCCTTCCGAGCTACTGCGATCGGTGTTTTCATATTTACAGTGTTTCTAGAAGAAGCCAATGTAGTCTCTCCTTCTTTGACCCACGTATTATCGTTTTTGCTATGCCTGTTGGCGGTGTGGATGTTATCATCTTGACAGGCGACGGGCATACCGAAAAATAAGACATTGTGAAGACCGTGACTGAAAACACTGATTGTTATCTGTGAAGTGCAGTCAGTCACGAGTTGTGTACTAAAGTGTCCAATAAATCCAATTACCAATCCAATCCCCGTCTATAGTCACACTCAGTCGTGTGACAGTATAATAAAAATAGTGAGAAAGCGACGCAATCAACTCGTCTCATAAAGTCCCGACGCCTCAGACGTCACAAGCGTAACCTATTTCAACGCGTCCAAAAGAGAATTTCCTGCAATTTCACCTCCGGATGTCGTAACATTTGCCTGTGAAGTACAGTACAGTCTATAAGGAGTTCAACTCTTTAAGGCACTGTGTGCTCCACATAATTCTCACAATAAACAGCGACTGTTTCCCTCAAGGGTATTAACCGGTTGGGCTTTGTAGTGGACACGTAATGTTTCCTGTGAGGTACGGACTGAATTCTTATATAACACATAAATTCCATACCTCAGAGAATTAAGCTCCCCACCTGCAACTTAAACTTAATACCCTTATTCCCTTTCGACCTTATGTTGCTTGTTTTATGATGCTACCAGTGCTCAGACTACGTAGCGTCGGAGGAAGAGGTCAAGTTAATGCTGAATTGAAAATGATTTAGATGGAAGTTACAAGGACACTATTCCGGGATTTGTATATAGGGACTGGCTAAAACCACGAGGAAAAAAGAAACCCAGCCCGGAGAGCAGTTTTCCCTTCAGAGAATCGAATCGAGCTACAAGGGAGAATCGGGGGAGTGGTTGAATAACTCAACATTTTCTTGATCTTGGCACTCGTTGGAGGTGAGTGAGTAGATTCATGCTCCGGCAGCTTTACCCCCGGTGAAAGAGCTCTCGGTGGCCAGTTGGATAGGAGGCTGGGTGGGCCCCAGAGGTGGTCTGAATGATGTGGAGAAGAGAAAAATCTTGACCTTACCGGGATTCGAACTCCGACCCCTCGGTCGTCCAGCCCGTAACCTGTGGCTGTACCGACTACGCTATCTCGGCGCCGTACAGAATAACAGCAACAGCAAGAAGCAGCCAAATAACGAGATTTTCCGAACTGTGTGGTTTAGAAATCGGATTTTATAGTAAGAAGTTACAAGGGCCTCGTATCAAGTCCGGTAATTTCAATTTTGATCGGGGAGTTGGCGCCTCGGCTCTTTGAAGCGCTGTTGCCCCTGCTTTGAGCGCACCAAAGTGTAAGTAATCAAACCGTTTGCCGTGTTACATGCTTCTCTGAACAAAGCGACACACAGATTGGAGCACTAAAATTGGAATCTCTGCTTGGTCACTCATGCTGCCGCATCTCACGAGATTGATGCCACTTCGCTGCCGCATCATGTAAGTCATGACGATGTAATCATTATTTTCCTCGAACCAAGCGACCGTCATTGCATCATTCAGAAAGACTGAATCGTGACGCTGCCGCCGTTAGCACTGGCTCAGAAGAAATTGCATTATAATCATAAATTAATTTGAACATTCCGTCTGACATATTGGAAGCCATGAATAGCCAGTGTAATTTGGTTCACTCTATGTTTTAATCCGTTAAACTACACTGGTAACGATACGTACCATCTGCTTTAACATTAATATTTCCCATACGCTAAGTTATCTCAGAAGATAGTACTCTTCAAGTACCATTTATCCTGACTGAGGGCTTTCATTGGTTTTTCAATGCTTTGAGACAAATGCCTCATATTGTGTAACAACCACTTCATACCACATCATTTCAAATTCAGTGCAGTGATTATCAAATCATTTGACAGTTTAGAGTCCGCACTGCTGACAGCAACATTAAACAACCTATAAATAAGCATATTTGGTCTGTGTCCTGTGTGTTGCAGAGACTGCAGCACTGAAAGGTCTCGATGCCCGAGGCAGCCAGCAGCGCTATCATGGCTGAGGCCCCACAACTGAGCGATGAGCCAGACTTGAGTACATTTGAGAACAAGTCTGGTCTGGCTGAAGACATGAAGTTCCTAGCGAGCATGCCGGAACTCTGTGACGTCACCTTCCTTGTTGGAGACACCAGGGAGCCGGTATGCGCCGTTAAAGCTGTGCTTGCAGCCCGCAGCAGGTGACTTACGTTTTGTTGTTAGACTGTGAGATATGTTGTGTACTTCTGTGCATGTGCATATCACCTGTAAAACGTGTAGGGGCTTGTAAATAATATTTTAAGCCTCCCTAACCTCAAAAGTTCAATCAGACATCCTCAGGACTGGAGGCAGAGTTGACACAAGCACTCCTCCAGACAGTTTTGAAAAGAAAACAGTCCCTACCCATTCCTGTAATTGAAGTCTGCTGCTGAAGTGCATAGCCAATTAGTCTATTTCATTCCATCCAATTCTGTCAGTCTGTCTAATCAGTTAGTCAAATGTTTTGGCAAAGAGTCCAGTCTTTTGGCTAAATAGACTAATCACTTGGATGATTGGTCTCATGTTTTGATCATGCAGTCCAGCCCAGTGAGTCAATCCAATCCAGTGACATGGGCAATCAATCTAGAGTTTTGGCCATGCACTCCAGTCAGACCAGTGCGATCTTTTGGCCACATAGACCACTGACTTTGACAGTCAGTCCAGTGTTTCAGTCACACAGTCAAACATTTTGTTCTGTCTTTGCCATCTATTGATAGGTCAGCATCGAGCATAAAGCTTTTTTTTTTTCTATAGAAGTCTCTGGTTGAATTGCAGAGTTTTTCACAAGATGCTGTACCAGGCTCCAAGTCCTCAGCGCAAGAAGGATCCGCCCCCTAAAGAAAACAAGTTGCGACTCTTCCTCAAGAGGAGCAGCGAGCCACTTCTCAACTTGCAGAATGCCGCCCAGCAGGTGAGATATATCACATCTGTTTTCTCGTAAGACATATTCTTCAGTTTGCACTCAAATGAAGATCTGTGATTCACTGACTCACACCTTGTCCTTGAATGCTCAGAACTGTCTTGTACTCTTCCATTCCCTGATCTGAAATCAAAGATAAAATTCAGTTTTGTCTTAAAATTGGAAAAGTAAGGTAAAGTTGCCCTTGTGCTTAATGAAGCACCAAGTTGTAAAAACAGATGGAGAGTGGAAGTGTAGGCCGACACGTCCATAATCTTGCCACGGAATGGGGATGAGTTCCGTGATGTAACCACCTTAACACGGGGGAACAGTACCCCGGTACCCACTAAACAGTGAGCTGGGTGGTCTGCAGAGCTGGTTTGAATGCTGTTGAGACAAGATACATCTCTTGCCTATGCCAGGAACTGAACCACAATTCCTTTATTGTCCAGCCCATAGCTGTAGTCACTTTATCAACTGAGCTATCCTACCCCCCTTAAAATCAGAATTGAAATAAAAAATTGTGACATTGTAAAACCCCCCAGTTAAAATGTATGACGGAATAAAATGATTTGGTAAAAAAGTAAAGCTATCCCTGTCACAATCTGTGGAGGCCTATGGGTTTGTGAGACATCGAAGCTCCCACATTTTATAGACAGTCAGCTCATGGATCTCAGTGAGGATGTCAGCCTTACATGCTGACTGTCCTTTACACCCAGGAAGATTTCTGATAATCATTTCTGCTAGAGGCTGAGTCGACCCCAGGGCCATAGTATGGCTGGAAAGTTTAGGTGAATTGAAAAATGCAATGACATTGAGGATCGAACACGTGACCCTTACTTGTAGCATAGTGCAACAACCAACTACGCTACCGCGTGCCTCTGGAATAAAGGGATTTACAAGTGCAAAGTGGTCATTTTGATAGCTCTCCAAAATTATTTAATTATTTCCATTGCTAGATTTGTGTATAAGCTAAATAATATACAGGCCAGTCCTCATAATCCTTGTGGCTTCCAAATACTGAGAGAGATCACCCACATGACATTCGGGAGTCAGCATCACCCCTTGCTTTCAGTTCAAGTGCAGATATGTGATTTCTGGCAAGCAAATGATTGGGTTTACATATCTATGCAATTCTGAGCCTTCACAGGCCAACTTCTAATTGTTCTTCAATTACGAACTTCCCGTGGCTATCTCCTACCAACAACTGAACTGAATTCCGATTTCCACATTCACCTATATCCTCTCGGCATTCTTTCACGCACAAACCAAATATTCACTTCACTCCACTCCACTCAACTGAACTGCTGTATGCCGATGAATTCCCATTCTCTTGACTGAACTCTCCTGGTTCGACCTCTCACCTCTTTTCCATGATGGCTTCGTGTCTTTGACTCACAGCTTCTCAGCTACGACTGACTCCTCTGTTATTCTGGAACCTCTTATAATTCTTTGGCACTGATCACATAGAAAACACTCTACTCTGGTGTCAGAATTATTGTCTACCCTAGCAGCTAGTTGTAGCATAGCTCATAGAGAACTCAGTTCCCACTGTTGCATGTTTGCAGGAAAGTGTTTATTGAGCCGTTGCCTAGAAACAGGTTGCTCTATTTTTGCATGCGTGTATTACTTAGCAGTGGCTGTTTATGTGCTCAGCAGTTCTTTCATGGAGTAAATACACCGCAAAATATATATATATATATATATGCTATAAGCTGGAAGGTTGTGGGTTCAATTCCCAATTAGGTCATTGGGTTTTTTTTTGATTTACCTAATCCTTCCAGCTGCACTATGGCCCTCTGGTCAACTCAGCCTCTAACAGAATTGAGTATCAGGAATCTTCTTGGGGTGTAAAGGGCTGTCGGCACATAAGCCTGACAGCCTCACCGCCGTCTGTGAGCTGATTGTCTAGAAAACATGGAACCCTTGATGTTCCACAACTCTATAGGCCTCCAGGGTGTGTTACAGTGATAGCTTTACCTTATCTTTGAAATTAAAGGTAAAATCTATCTCTGTAAGAGGCCATGGAGGCCCATATAGGCTTTGAAATATCGGGACTCCCACATTTTGTGGACAATCAGCTCACAGATGGCGGTGAGGCCAGCCTTATGCTCGAGCCATCCTCTACCCTCAGGAAGATTCACGTAATCTGTATTGTAGCATTTGATGATATTTTCACGTGTTGGGTATGTCACGCAACAAATAACTTTACGTGGGTCTTGGATTTAGCGAATCTTTATTGTGCTTCACTTATACACTCGCACACTTTACAATTACTATCACGTGCAGTATCACAATTACTGCTTCCACTATATCTCAGCGAATACTAGACTGCCTTTGATGGCGGCTTTCTCCAGACTGACTCGTTACCGCGGAAGTGCATTATTCCTGCTGGTTCAACAATCTGTTGCATAGGAAGTGCAGTATTTCCCGTTGTTACTCAACGACAATTCATTACTACGATTTGTCACTGCGGGAACTCCACAGTTTCCACCTATTCGTCGCCATGGAAGTGTGCATTCCGATTGTAGCGGTTGTCGCAGTGATGGACATAAGATAACGCGTCACATTATTGCAACAACAGTATGAAGGTACAGTAAAGCTATCTGAGTACTTGATTAATCACAGTGCCCGTGATGTGACCTGAATGCTGTGCAGAAGAGAATAATCTCATGCCTCTTCTAGGAATCAGACCTAGGTCATCCAGCCTGTAGCCAGTCATGTGACTGATATAGTGGTCATGCAGGCAACTGCAAAATGGAGAATAGTAATTTGGAAGGATTGTTTTTGGATGCTGGAATGCTGTTAGAAGTGGAAGGGACATGCTTTCATTCAGATAATGGGAAAGGAGAGTACAAGATACATTTCATGTATTGAACTTTCTTTCACAGACAGCTTTGAAGAATATATGCAGTGCTTTTGGCAGAAATGTGGATGTTTTAATTTGCTGGCACATGTATTTAATATCTGTTTTTCATTTCGTTGCAGATTTGGATAAGTTGCTAATTTTCTTTCTTTGTGCATTTAATGTAACAATTTGTATTTACATTTGTTGAGCAGATTGTTTTGTTTGTCCATTTGATGCAACAGTTTTCACATAGGTTTGTGGAGCATATTATTTTTGGTGCACTTAGTATAACAATTTTTATGTACATTATTGAGCACATAATCTGTAACTTTATGCCTTAGTAGATTTACAACTAGTTCATGAAAACTATATTATTTCTAGGTGATGTATGCATTTAATTTGTTTGCTTTGTCTGTACATTTCAGTGGATATCCAAGACCAACTTACGAAATTGAAGCCAGAACATTTAAATACAATTTCTGGTCCTGTAATTTATACAATCTTTGTATCTGATTTAATTCTTGGCTAAGGTTTCGGTTATTCACAAATTTGAATGGGCCATGTAGTCTACAAGACTATGCAGAGTCATGTCCCAGAAAACAGCATTCCTGATAGTCACTGCCATGAGTACCCCAGCTCTGAGATCTTAAATTTCATTTGTTCATGTTTCATGAATATACTATCAGTAGCTCACATGATCCAGTGTTGAATTGGAGATGATTTGTGAATAAAGAATTTTAAAGGATATGAAAGGAGACTGTCATGGTCTAATTTAGGCTGATTCTAAAGGGATCTGACGATGGTGTATAATACTCAGAGTTATTGGAGTTTTGGACTTTGTCCATCATCCGGTGTTCTTTACTAGAAAACGTTTCAGAAACTGGACCTGTTTCCATCCTCAGGTGAGGGGCAGAGGGAGACACCTAATCTGTTGGGTCCCTTAGAAAGTGCTAACCTCAAATGCTAGAGGTTAGCTCTTTCTAAGGAACCCAACAGAGTGTCTCTCTCCAACCTCACCTGAGGACAGAAGCAAATCCAGTTTCCAAAACATGTTTTCTAGTTTCTAGAATACGGGATGATGGACAAAGTCCAGAAACCCAGTAATTCTGACTAATTTAAGTTACAACCCCAGAATATGCGCTGGATGAATTGAGGGTTACTATGAAAGACTCAGTCAGTAGAACAAGTCTCCCAGCTGGAATTTTGTGCCCTTACCCCCTGACTGTGGAGAGCAGCAGACATGTATAGTGACTATTCTGATGCTTCAGTGTACGTCACACCTTCCCTTCTAGTTCATTCAGTTTCTTATCACATCCTCAGTTGGCACAGAATCATTGAATGGCCTGCAAATTATTCTAATCCCTGTCACAGTAGTTCTGTATTTTCACAAAAATAATTTGATCGCCACTCATTTCTTTAATATTTATATGTGAAAATCAAGAATTGTTTCCTTTTACTCATTACCTATGAAGCACTGAGGGATATTCTGTTGTAGGAATTAGAATTTTGCCTGTGGTTCTGTATGGGTGTAAAACTTGGGTCTCTGACATTAAGGGAGGAACACAGACTGAAAGTGTTTGAGAACGGGTGCTGAGGAGAATATCTGGATCGAAGAGAGATGAAGCAATGGGAGGTTGGAGAAAACTGCATAATGAGGAGCTTCTTAAGTTGTACTCTTCTCCAAGCATAATTAGAATGATCAAGTCAAGGATGATGAGGTGGGCAGGGCATGTAGCATGAATGGGGGAGAAGAGGAATGCATATAGGATATTGGTGGAAAAATCAAAATGAAAGAGACCACTGAGAAGACCAAGGCATAGGTTGGTGGACAATATTAAAATGGATCTTAATGGAGAGCCATTAGAGAGATAGGATGGGATGGTATGGATTGGATTGATCTGGCTGAGGATAGGGACCAGTGGAGGGCTCTTGTGAACACTATAATGAACCTTCGGGTTCCATAAAATTCTGGAAAATTCTTGAGTAGCTGCACAATTGGTGGCTTCTCAAGAAGTGCTCAGCTCCATGAGTAAGTAAGTATGGAACTCACTCAGTTCACAGTAAAGGAGTTGATGAGTCAGCCTCTGAGTGAGTCAGTCAGTGAATCAGTGAGTGGGTTAGGCAGTGAGGGAGTCTGTTACTTTCACATTGTGTCTTCTGGGAT